ATATATAGTTCTCAGGCGCAATCCCCTTACCAAAGTGGACCCTAGAAAAGTGGTGGTAACGACATTGACGGTGAAGGGCACATAGTAGTAGTTGGTGTCCTTGAAGTACTGCGGATCTTGCAGACAGAATGGTATCAGCGCGATCCCGACAACCAGAGCAATCTTGAATCGCAGCCACGACTCAATGGAGGTCACTGTGTTGCAGATGAACATCCCGTGATCATGCATACGATCCCTATGTATGCGTGCGTAGTCCCGAGGGTGCATTGATATCAATATAATGTCAGTCACATAGACAAACACACAGCAACAACAGCATGAACCTATGATGGGTGACACGCAGGTGTAATACTGGCCACTTATATAGCCTACGCCCTGCCATCTTCAATAACAGCCACGAATGTCTCTAGGGTTTCCTTAGACCAACTTCCGCTTAAACACAAGTAACCATGCACACGATCACTGTGAGCGAAAAGATTTACTCACTTGAAAGTCTAGTGCTAAGAATGATCCGTTCTTTGTGTGTTAAATAAACACCCCGCAGTCCAGCTGATCCCTAAACCCTAAACACTAAACCCTGAAAACGTTGCCAATGTGCGCGATAAAGGTCTTAAGTTAAGAACCGGTGTTCTGTAGTCCAGCTAACCCAAACCGTAAATCTTAACCCCTGGATTCAATGACAATGTGGCGATAAAGTTGATATAGTTGGCCTTGGGTTCTACTGACATCTTTTAAAATGCAGCCAATGGAGTGAGCACAACAGGTGTAGACAGTTTGTTTTGCGCTGTTGGTATTGGGCCAGGCAATCGGAAGTCATGCACACGTCAGCATGTGTGTATACGTTCAATCGTATGTGGCAATTGTCTTCGGCGTAATTAGAGTGTTGAAATATACATAGCGGCTGCATTGACCTTGATGTCCTGGCCAGATGTGTGAGCGTTCTCATTGAACTATACCACAGGATACCAACTGACCGTACGCATTCAAACGGTTTAGAATTCATAGCATAGTATACAAATCGTTCTCAACTGTTCAACTACTATCAACCGATTATAAACATATCATTCAAACGGTTTAGGATGTACGTATTACCCTTAACATAGCACCCAATCCCATGTGCATGTAGATTATATTGATATGTGATATACGAGACTTAATATCTATAAATGAGTCTTGATATGAATGCACGTGAGAGTCATTCTAAGTATCTAATCCCATACGCATGTACATTGTATTGATATGTGTTATATGAGACTTCATATTTATATACGAGACTCGCTATGAACGTAAGTGAGAGTGTTACTATGTATTCAATCCCGTGCAGTTAGAGAAAGACTCAGACATGTACACAACATATAACCTGTACAACCTGTACATACTGACCTCTTTCGGGACAGATTCGCATTTGAAATCCAAAAACATGATCTTTGTTGTGGTATACATTGGGCTACCATCGTAGTACAGCCCAAAACACAATGCGTGTTCTAAATGCGTAAAGTTCCACAATGCATTCCATGACAGTATACGCATTCAGATTTGAGATATAGTCAGATCTCCTCACAAAATATTCCGGGATGTGTTGTAGATTTTTTTGGGGGACAAATTCAAATTTATACGCTATAGCATGGATATTGATTTGAAGTATAGTCTGGCCACCGGCTTGGCGCTAAACCTTAAACTCTAAACCCTACACCCTAAGCAATACAATCCCTCATCCCTTAAACATACCTGAACGTAATGGCCTCTTTTGGGACTGATTCGGTTTTGAAGTCCGTGAGCATAGGCATTGGTGTGATATATACTTTAGCTACGAGTTTCGTACAACCCCAGAACCCCATGCGAGCGTTGGTGATGGGGACTGTGAGATTGTCCTGGTGCACCACCACTCGGCTGTACAACTTGGTAGCGCCCAAAAGCACCGCTACCCAGTTCATCACCACGCCTGGTATGCGCAAGGTGAAGACAGTGCAGTGTGTAGGTTATGCTAGAGTGAGGAAATCGAAGAATACTGTCGTAGCTGGCCATTCACATGTCGTTTCCCATTGGATATGTATGTTTTTCTGATGGGGTCTGTGAGATTAGCGTGGTGCACGAACATAATTTTGTGGTGTCCATGAGCACCGCTGCTC